TTATTAGGGATTTATTTTAATTATATTATAAATTGTTGTAATTGACTAATTTTTTAAGATGTCCTTGATAGTTATTTTACATTTTTCATCTAGCTTATCAATTAGTTTTATTCAAACATGATTTCTTTATCAATTATCATCTAACTTATCAGTTAGTTTACAAAAAACACAACCTAAGTTTATTAAAATGAAATATTTTTTTCCTAAAACTGGCTTATGGTTAAATAAATAAAGCTTTTTCAATAAGCTTAAAAAATAAGTTAGCTTACTATTGTGAAAAGAAAAGGTTCATTGTTGCTTCAATGGAAGAGAATTCAGATATCTGGTCTTTTTCGGGACCAACCCTTGATCTAAAAAGTTAAGACCAATCTGAACCTAAAGAACTAGATCGATCTTATTGGTCCCAACCCTTTTCGATGCAACCCTGACTCTTTCTAATCGTCTCTAGCCTTTAGGCGTAAAAGGATACCTTTAACAATGTGTTCTCGAGAACCTTTTACAGAAGAAGGGCGAGAGAGTAGAGGAAAAGAAAAAGGTATCGTGTTCTTAGAAAATAAAATTAAGAGATAACTGAAAGGAAAAGGGAAAAAAATGTCGGTTTTCCTTCAAATGTGGGAGGAAAAACAATTATAAAATTATACATCTATCCATTAATTACAAACTGTTATAAAATAAATTAAAATATATATTTAAAAATGTTATCGTAAAAATCATCTTTCTTTCTTCAATTTATCTTCCTCCTCGAGTTCACAAATAAATAAAAAACTATTTCCTTTGGTAATGGGCAGACCACAATCACAATAAATACGCTTTTTCTTCTACCATCCCATGATTCCTTCAACAAAATCCTCTCTTTTTGCTCGTCCACCTCTCCCATGGCTTCCTCCTGCTTTTCAAAATCCAAAACTATCATCATGCGTAATCTCAAATCCAAAAACTTTTTCATGCTAGGCTTCATCAATCACACTTATTCCATTACTAATTTGCAGTTTCCTCGCCATCTTCTTCATACGATCTCATCTCCACCATTACCGGTTTCCAACTATGCAAGTTCTTCACCATATAATTACTCCATTGCTTTCTCCCGTTGTTTCGCGTCGGTCTATGGTGGAAGACGATTAAATACTGCTACCAGTGTTAGGAACAGCGTCGATCAGGTCGGTAATCCGTAATATCTTCATCATTGCAAATTTCTTTACAGTTTGCAGTGTAGTTTATTTTGGTCTTGTGACGTGTTGTGCGAATTTACTTTATTCTGATGTAATTTGGTGCGTATTTTGTGATGATCTGTAAGTTCTTTTAGCGACTGCAAATTTTTTATTCCCAATTTCAAATTTTGATTTGGCATGTGTTACTACTATCAAGTTAGTTGTAAGGACTATAATGGCTAATAGATAGCTTTGACTTGATTAGTTGATTACTTTATACAGTTCCATAAGATTTTTCTTGTTCATGTTCCGTTTTGGTTCTTTATTACATGTCTTTGATCAACGTCATCCGGATTAGCTAAAATAAGAAGGTTGGTTAAGTAATAAATTATAAGTGGTCTCACAATTTAGTATTGGATCAAGATTAAAATGGAGAATGTTAGCTTTCTGAGTATTTTAAAACTAAAAGCTGCCCACTTTTCAAAGACAAGATGTCAGGTTGACTTTTACAGCAATGACACAATTTTTGACTTGGCAATCAATATGATAATTTTGAAGATTAAAACTTTGTTATTCGACAGTTCTTTTTGATATGATTAACAAGCCATCATTATTTTCTTCTAGATGTAACAATATATATACATCATGCTTGAATCCTACAATTGACTATTTTCACTGTCAAAGTCAAACTTCACCTCGTCAGGACCACATGGATTCATCCCTACTTTGATGTTGCCGAACCAACTTTAGGCAGTAAAACTGCTGTTCAGCTAACATATCCCTATTTAGTATGCTCATGGCATTTATTTATGAACCGTTGTTTTTCAAGGTGACTATTTATGAAAGAAGAGAAACCGTAGCGGTAAGGTTGATCATGGAATCAATCATTTTCACATTGGATGAGAGGTTGTTGTCATTAGGACTACTATTTGAGATAAATATTTGTTTATGAATAACTTTTGGTTATTTTAATGCCCATGTTAGCAGTTGAGCATAACTTTATAACTCTTTTTCTCCCAACAGAAAGCTTTTTGAATTGGAAATTTTGTTCAAAATAAGGAATTGATTGTAAGTTTACAAGATTTTTTATTGCCATTTTTTCTTGCAACTTAGTTCTAAGCATTTATTACTTCCCTCTATGTGCCATTCTGCTTCCATGCTTTGCTTTTCTTTCTCTAAAATTAAAGAAAAAATACGTACTGGTATTTATTGGGATCCCGACATATGCTTAACTTTGGTCTTTAATCACTTGCGGAATTGCATGGTCATTTCCTTTATCATGTACACATACCAAGAACAAAAATTTGCACTTGACACGTACGAATTTTTAGTGAAGGGTAAGCACTACTGTTGTCTGCCTGGAGTAGACTGGGATGTTGGGCACTAGTCTTGTGTTTTGATGTACTTGTTAGTCCTTACTAATGATTCTATCTTGATTCAGTTATCTACTGAAGCTCCTTTGCAGCAAGACCTAGATTTTCCAGGTGGACGAGTTAAGTTTACCCCAAAACCGGTATTCACATCCAGTTCTACGGAGGAAAGGACCCCTTGTTACCGAGTGCTTAATGACAATGGCCAGCCAATCCTTGATGGAGATTCAGTTAAGGTAAAGTAAAAAAATGTCTTATTTGATTAATGAAAGACTGTTTCTTTCTGTTGCCTAAAGTAACCAATAAATGATCTCATGGTTTTTTAACATACAGATCAGCAAAGAACTTGCTGTCAAGATGTATACCAACATGGTAACACTTCAAGTTATGGATACTATCTTCTATGAGGCACAGAGACAAGGAAGAATATCCTTCTATCTTACCACAATAGGGGAGGAGGCAATCAACATTGCATCAGCAGCAGCTCTAAACTACAATGATTTTGTCTTCCCTCAGGTTACTTTACTTTCTCAAGCACATGAACTCTTTTCAAAATTTTAAGATGTGTATGAATGTGTTCAGTCATGCCAGAAAATATATCTGGTCTGTTATTCTCAGGCGAAATGGCATCCTCTATATCCTTTGTGTTCATCCATTTGAAGGCTTCCAAACAACACGGCAACCAATTTAAACTCCTAGGGTCTTACCCAAAGCCTATGTACAACACGGCAACCAATTTAAACTCCTAGGGTCTTACCCAAAGCCTATGGTGTATACATGAACTAACAATATATGAATCAGTATAGAGCCTTTCAGTCTCAATTCAGAAATATATTTTCAGTATCTGTGTTTTGCTTGATACATTGTCGCTCTGATGCAATCCAAGCCTGAACCACTTCCTGAAATCATCTATTTCTTTTTATTGTTTATCCTTTCATACAAAGAGTTCTATAAAGAAGATTATTCAGACCAGTTACTAGTCTTCAGTTATTTATTTTTGTTTGTCAGAAGCAGAGGCACACATTATCAAAGTGAGAAACACAATTGTGCATTCCAGTTAATACTCGACAAAATGAAAATGAAGAACCATCTTTTTTCTTTCTGTAGCTACTAAAGGTGCTTGCCTCTTTTATTTCACTAAAAACAGAGACATTTGATATGAGTTTCAGCTTGTAAGTCACTAGTAATGTGTTCTCTTACTCCTAGATTTCACTTCAGTAAATAGTTGATATAGATTTTAATCTTTCATTCTATCATCACCTTTTATACGCTGCTCGAAACCTCACTCTTGTGACAATTTACATCCTTAGACACCCACTCATGTGCTCCTTCAATGTTTCAAGTCTTTATGTACCAAAGAACCATCTAGATTGATGTTAAATACTAAGCATATAAACCCATTTTAGGCATGGTGTAATGACGGGAATGGTACATAACAGAAATTGCATAACCTTTTTCTTCTATGCTTGTTCTGAGTGAATCGGCAGTAGATATCATCTGAATCTCATAAAGAAAAATAAATCTCAGTCTGCCAAATATACATGGATCTCATGTGTTATGATTGTCTCTTCATTATTTCATCAATATGTCCTTTTCAAATTCTTGGCTTAAGAGAATATTTGGTAGTCAAATTTTAAATCTTGATGTGCATAGCTGAAAACTGATTGTTGACTGTGTAGTTATCAAATCATGTTATTTGGAGAGAAGGGATGAAAAAATCTATGTAGAAGCTTACAGCTACTTCAATTTCAGCAGCTGATCATTTACATTCCATCTGTCCCATATGAGTCTACTTCACAATTTTTCCTTTTCTTGAAAAGAGTCCTATTTCAAATTTTAACATCAATATAATTTGATTATCTAGATTACCCTTCTCTTATTAGAGATCACTGAAGTGCCATTATGTTAACTGTATTTAATCATGTTGGCCATAAGAATTGTATTTAAATTCTTTTTAGATTATAAAGTGATGACTTTTTTTAGGATGTTTTAGTTTGTTTATCATTCACCCTTGAGCAATCATAAATTAGCATACATAATAGTCTGCCTCAAGTCTTATGCACAGAAGAAAGAAACAATGTACTACCATTGATATCAATACCTCCGAGATATTCTTTTATTGGAAGGGGAATTTAGAGAGCGACAACATTTGTTGACTCTGAAATGTTGTCAGCTAAGTTTAAAATTGTCAAGACTTGTATTTTACACACCTGTCTCTTGATTCTCTAGAAAGCTGCTTATTTTATATGTTTACTTGTTTCCTTCTTCCTGGATGAGCCTTTCTCATTACTTGATTCATAATAGTAATAGTTTATGTGTGTATTAATTATTTACATCCATGTCAATGAACAGTTAGTTACCTACAAAAGTCTATAGCTCTTAGCTTCTAATAAACTCAAAGTTGGAGCTGATGTGCAAAATCTGATCCTCATATGCAGTATAGGGAGCCTGGAGTACTTCTCTGGAGAGGATTTACTTTACAAGATTTTGCCGATCAGTGTTTTGGAAACAAAAATGATAACGGAAAAGGACGGCAGATGCCTATCCATTATGGGTCTAGAAAGCACAATTACTTTACAGTGGCATCAACTGTAGGGTAAGATATGAATTTTACTTTCCATATGCCAATTTTCACTTATAATTTACTCCCTTTATCACATAAAGGAGTTAAACCTTGCTTGTTTGTTGTGTTCACTTATAGCTTCTCGAAGCCTCAACTTCTCTTAGATAACATCATAACCAGAAAAGGCTTGAACAATTTATAGAAAGGGATTATGGGGTAATGATCTCTCATCCCTATAATCCATAGATTATCGATCACCGTCCATGAGACAGAAATAGAGCGAAAGAACCATTTTGTCTCCACTGTACCTAGAATAGAAATGGACAAAGAGTGCTGTATCCATTCTATATCTGAACAAGATTTTATAGCTAGATAAGATTGTTGGATTTTGATGTTCTTTTTGTTAACCATGGGTGTCTGAGCCAGCTTGCTTACACCTCGACTAATCCCATGGGGGCCCAGTAGAACAGCCAGGAAAATCTCTGGTGGCCTTGCAGGCACTCAAACTGGTGACCTTTAGGGCAGAGCCCCGATGAGATTTTGCTGTTTGATGGGGATGAGATGGTATGCACATGAAGATGGTTGATCACAATAGCCTGTTTCATTGATAAATATGTCTTTGCCATCTGCTAAATTTTGTTTGATGTTTTGCTATATACATAAAGCTTATGAGTGTTCATGTACCCCAGAACACAGATTCCACACGCAGTTGGTGCTGCCTATTCCTTAAAGATGGAAAAACAAGATGCATGCACAGTCACGTATTTTGGTGATGGAGGCAGCAGTACGGTAAATATGACCTCATAATGCTGTAGCATTTTGGAATTGCATCATCATTTATCATATAATCATTGTAGTTATCTTTTTCTTATTCATTCTTACACACCAATTCATCACAGGGAGATTTCCATGCTGCTTTGAACTTTGCTGCGGTTATGGAGGTCCCAGTAATTTTTTTCTGTCGAAACAATGGATGGGCCATTAGTACCCCAATCAATGATCAGCTTCGAAGTATTTATGCCTCTCTTCCATGTGCTTTTCCACTTCTCCATTTCTACTTAAATTATTGACTTTTGGGGCATTTGTTCAATTTTAGGTGACGGTATTGTTGTAAGAGGGAAGGCGTATGGAGTTCCTAGCATCCGAGTAGATGGTAATGATGCTCTAGCTATCTATTCTGCTGTTCATAAAGCACGCAAAATGGCTATTGAAGAACAAACACCTGTTTTAATTGAGGTTTGTTGTTACAGTTTTGCTGTTACTTATTTTGGTATCATAGTTTGCCCATAATTTAACTTTTGAGATGAAACCTATTACTCATTAGGTTTGAATACTAAATTGATATCAAATTCTCAACAAATTAACACAAACATTTTCACAAGTAGCATTTGCTACCGAGTCCATTGTGGTTATCATACTTGAATTCAAATAACTGATCTCAATTCAAAGGTTCGTTACTGGTCTCCATTCCCATTTTGTGTACCCAACTTTATTTCGTCACACATTAGGTAAATCGGATCTTACAATCACACAACCTCTTTCTTATTCAAATGTTACTTAGAAAATTAGATTGTTTGTTGTCTGATGGTATACATACCCAATGACAGGCCCTCACATACAGAGCAGGACACCACTCGACATCAGATGACTCAACCAAGTACCGTCCAGTTGACGAAATAGAAAGGTGGCGAGGTGATCAAAACCCTCTAAAGAGATTTAGGAAATGGATTGAAACCAAAGGCTGGTGGAGTGATGAGGCCGAATCAGAACATCGTAACGGCATAAGGAAACAGGTAAAAAGCTTTGATCTTCTCTCTTTAAGCACCAACCTTTATGCAGAATTCTTTATTTTCATTTGGTACAACACCTTTTATATTCTTAGTAATTCCATCCTTGAAGTTACACACCCTTCACATTAGAATGTTCATCATGCTCCCAACATTCAAAGATATATACACTTTGACTTTTAAGGTCAAACCAATTACTTTTCAGATTCAAAATCAGTATGGACTACTTCAAGGGCCCGCCTCATTTGGAATCCAGAGGATTTGAAATGGTGTCTTTGTTTTGTAGTTGGAATGGAATTGAATTCAATTCTTTATTAAAAAAAATTATAAAAATAATTAAGTTACATTTTTATTAATTGATTATTACAAAACAAGTGTTTTTATCTTTTTCTAAAGATCATATGAAAACCTACAAAATACCAACTCCGTCATGGGGTAAATCCCATGTTTGTGGGGTTTTCATTGAAATCTCAAACTTTCTTTTAAACCAAACATGAGATTGAAATAGAATCCAATTTCAAATCCCACCAAATCTCGCAATCCAAACGGGCCCTAAAATCTTAACACTGGCATGGTTTCAAGTTGAGAAATTTGTTGAAAATTTAATATGGTTATAACTTTTTTCTCAAAGCAGGAATAATTTTAGTATGCAATTTGTGAGTGAAGTTTTGTTTTTCTTACCTCAATTGTCAAAGTGTTCCTCTACACATTCTACCTTTGTATTGAATATACCGGGTTTGCTTAGATTGTTTTAAGATTGGTCTAATCTTTCCACCTTATGACCCCATAACACTCAATTTTAGAGAACCGAATCCAATATTTTTTGTATTCAAATCTTACACGCTTTTGTAGTTTATCATCTCAAGAAAATTGGTTGTGGTCTTATATTTCTCTATACTCAAAAGTCGAATATGGACTTCTCTTTGAGGAATAGGCCTTGATTTGCATTCATATAACTTGTGTAACTGATAATGTTGCTAGTTATCGCAAGCGATTCAAGCTGCAGAGCGGGTGGAAAAACCTCCAATTTCAGACATATTCAACGACGTATATGATATTCCCTCTAAAAACCTTACCGAGCAGGAGGCTTTTCTAAGAAGAACCATCCAAAAACATGCACAGGATTATCCCTCCAATGTTCCCATGTAAAGCGATCAAGTCATGTATCATCCCACTAATTATAATAGCATCAGGATTCTAGATCGAAACCATTTTACATATCCATGGCTTCCAATTAGATTCGTTAGCAAGTTGAATCTCACACAATGATTACTACTTGTTAAGATTCATGCATACAACCCGTATAGCCCGATAGGTGAACCTAAATGGGGTTTATGGTCTCCACGAGCACTAGGTGTAGCACACGAGGGCAGGATGTCGTGCTTTCGTCTGTTTCGTCAAGGAAAACAATCTTTATAGTTTTTAATAATCATTGGTGTTCAGTCCAGTTTGTCTACAAGTAGACTAATTGTTTGAGGCTTTGAATTTAACAGATGGTAAATTTCTAATATCCCTGTGAGGACTCACTAGCAACCAAACTCAAGTACTTACATGTTTAGCTACTCCTAAGAGTTAACAAGTTTAGAGCATGTTTGTTAGCAGTTTAACGATTTAACGAGGTTATTGGTATTCACAGTTTATTCAACCAGCTATACATAACCAATTGATGATGGTTTAATGATATAGAAAATTGGTTTATTCAAAAGTTTTTAGGGCAAACTCTATGCAAAAAGCCAAGTTTTTTCAAACGTTTATCTCTCAATTAAAAACACGTTTATTCAATCTATAAAAAACTCACTCAAACAAAAATCTTCACAAACTATTAATCTATATAGACAACTTTTATTTATATAACAAACAGTATTATAAATTTGATATTGAAACAATCTCATATTGGATCTATTTGACTCTTTCCTTTTATGGAAAAAAACCATCTTAAATAACGTGTTTAAAAAAAGGGAATGTAAGTAATATACATCACCTTATATGATTTATATCTAAGCGAAGAGAAGACTTTATATAAATTTATGCTAAATTATGTAAATGCATTTTTTAACATTGTTTTTTGTTATTAATTTATTGAAATAAGTATAGTTAATGAAATGATTAATTAATTAAAAACCAGTCGCCATCGCCGGCTGCCTCCTCTTTGGTCATGTAAAGATCCGAAACCGTTTTTTAATATATATTTTTGTTTGCTTAACTTTTTAATATTTGTTATACGAGGTTCGAGAATATAGAATATCGATGTGATGTTGTGAATAATTTTTTTAAATTAGTTTTTAAATTAATAATTATTTTTTACAAATATAAATAGAACGAGTGTTTTAAATGATGAATTTTAAGGTCTATCTGTTACATCACAAGAATTAATCGTGTTTTAATAATTTGTTGTAATAAAAAATCAATAACAATTTGAAATATATATATATCTTGCTAACAAAATTAATCACATTGCAAAACATAATTGGTTTCATTATATTAACATTTATAAGTTATGATTTTATTGTATTGATGATAAGTTTTATAAAAAGTGAATTCTACCATGAGTAATGAACCTACTTAGTAGCTGTTTGCCAATTGCTAAATGGTTTGGTACAGAATGATTAAGTGGTCAGAATGATTTAGAGGCTCTCATGATATACTGCAAAATGAAATATAGTTGTTTGGTAATTGTGTACAATGAAATTAGGGCTCTTAATGGTTAAGGAAGATCCATGATACAAAATCATTCAGATGGTTTTAAAACCATTAAGAGACATATTTTTTTTTGCCAAACAAGATTAATCTCTTATTGATTTAGATGTTGCCTCTTAATAAAAATATTAAGAGATAAACAAACAACCCTTTATGATGACAATATTCTATTAAATATAACTACTTTTTGACAAGATATTTAAGACATGCTTTTATATGATAAACCTTTTTAGAGTAAATTACATTCCTGGTATTTGTAGTTTGACGTTTTTCCCTACTGTGGTCTCTCAAATGCGTTTATTTCACTGCATGTCCTTGTGGTATGCAAAAACGCAAGCTTCAAGTCCCTCATGCTAATGCCGCCTACTTAGTCGCCAATAATGATCTCACACGCCTAAAAACATAAGGGTAAAATCATCCACTCAACCTTTCAGCCTCTCTCGCTCGTAGATATCCTCCCTCCAACCATTATTTCACCCTTCCTCTCTCTCTCTCTCTCTCTCTCTCTCTCTTTGTGTGTGTTACGACTTTTTCTCCCAACAAAGGTCATATATCCCGATCACAACTCAAGATCACCCATGAAATGATGCAGCTGTTGATCAGATGCAATAATTTGAACTTCATGGACATCATCAAACCCAGGAAAACGCCTTTATTATTATTCAAGAAAGTTAACAAAATTTTCATCTTTTTTACAATTTTAGGGATTTTCCCTAATTGTTCTTCGTGTCTTTTTAAATACGCAAGGAGTTGTGGTTTCATTGATTGGTTTGACCCAACATTATGTGATCGCTCGAAGATGATTATACATGGATTGTTAAAGTCGAAGAACAAGCTTGAAGAAGAAAATCACATATTAGAGTTGTTGTTGTATTTCACTTGGTTGTCAATTGGGATTTTTTTTTTCTTTTCTTAGGTGATCTAATTGGATGTAATAGGTCAGGTTTGGGTTGCCACTATTTGTAGACATTTGTTGTTTTGTACTGTTGTGTTTTGTGAAATATGGTAAATCTTACCTAATTTTGGTTTAATGTAATGAAAAAGCTTTCATTTATATGTAACATGGTTTAATGTAATGCAAAAGCTTTCATCTTAATGTAGTACAGAACTTGATGCGTTTTTCAGAATCCATGTTGTTGTTATGAGGTGCAAATAAGGTGAAGGGTTTTCTTGGAGTTCCTACGTCTACTTAATTCAGGTGAAGGGTTTTCTTGGAGTTCCTCTATCACAACATTAGTACCCACTGGACTCGACAAATATTTAGCACATCCTGGACGTTTCCTAAGGCTTTTAGACCAAAGTTTAAGTCAGAACCAGGGATTTTAAAGTGATAATAAGTGGGTATTGGGTGTCTATAGCCAATTTCATTCATCGTTGCATTCAACTCGTGTACAGAAAACTCGTATGTGTCTACGAGGTCCACATAATGAAATTTACCATCTTGATAACACCTGCCAAGAGCCTTAGTGAAAAACCCTCCATGATGAATCTTCAAGCCAACCAACATAGGGTACAATCCTGTTAAAAAAATATTATTAAATACCACAAACAGATTGAAACTGAAATGAGGAAAAACCTACTTTTAAGTGCATTACATACCATATATTTCAATGTAATCAGTTGTATCCGCCTTGCTTCGAACTTGTGATGATGTACAAACCATATTGTGGCAATAAATGAGGAAGATGAACCTTCCTTCACTAATGGAATGAAGAATCGATGAAGAATAAAAATTCTTGGAAGGTTTCTTGAATGAGAAGATGAAGCGAACCTCCGATTTTTAAGGTTTAAGGACGATAAATGAGTTTAGGGTAATCGTGTGTGTCTTAACGCAAATGAGAGGGAAAAAGTTGAATGGACGGTTTTACCCTTCTCCTTTTGGGCACATGGGATCATTAATGGTTAATAAATAAAAGACATTAGCATGAGGGACTTGGAGCGTGTGTTTTTGCATACCGCAAAGACAGACAATATAATAAACACGTTTTAGGGACCTTAGTCAAACAAACGTCAAACCATAGGGACCAAACCATACAATGATGAAGAAATAACCAACCTGACTTGGGGTGAGCAGCGGAACCGAGTCCCCGGCTACAGAATCGGAACCGCCGGTTCCGGAACCGGAACCGATATGAGTGGTTCCGGTTCCAATTCTTAAAATACGGAACCGATTGAGAATGGTTCCGGTTCTCAATTTTCCGGAACCGTTATCCGCCGGGTACCCGGTATTTTTCAATAAAAAAATAATTATTATTTTTTAATACCAAATTTATATTATGTTTACATCTTAAAAGCATGTCGTCATCTTCATTCTTCATCTAAATTCTTCATGTAAAATGATTCGTATTTTTTCAAATTGTGTGTTCACTTGGATTCATAGTATGTAATCATTAAACTTTGAACAATTAGCATTATAGTATGTAATCGTTAAACTTAGAACATTTTCTATTAGTCTATTATGGTTTGTAATCGTTAATCAATATTTGTAACCATTATTCTGTATAATTTGTATTCTTGCTTATTTATTAGTGTTTTGACAATATTTTATTTTTCTAAATAACAAAATTTTAATATTTTAGGAAGCGGGTACCCGGAACCGGAACCGGTTCCCGACGGTTCCGGTTCAAAAAATTTAAGAATCGCTCTAATTGGTTCCGATTTCGGTTCCAATATCTCAAGAACCGTCTGTTTCGGTTCCGATTCCGATTCCTGTCAAAAAATGTGGATACCCACCTATGTTCACCCCTAGACCTGACCACCATCATGTGATGTAAGACCCAATGAACATATGCAATGAATTAAAGGCTTTTCATTTAAGGTGAAGAGTTAGAGGTAGGGATGACACTATAAATATCAGTCTAAAAAGACGAAAATGCCCCTCATGTGAGAGGCACGTTTAACGGATCTTAAGTTAACGGAGTCAAAATATGGACCTGATTCGTAACAAAAACAAAATTTGCCGTCTTAAACAAATATGATGTATTGATGACGCACGGTTAACGGGACAAAATTTGTCCGTTAACCATGCCGCTCTCCGATCTCAGCTCTCACTTCTTGTTCTTGCTCTTCCACATTGATCCCATGGCTTCCTCCTCCTTGACAAAATCCAAAACTTCCATCATCCACCATCTTAAATCTACCAAATTCCCCTTGTTATACTTCACAAATCACACTTCTTCCATTCGTAATTCGCACAATCTTCTTCATACAATCTCATCTCCACCACTCCCGGTTCCGAGATGTGCAACTTCTTCACGAATCAATCCCTTCATTGTTTTCTCCCGTTGTTTTGAATCTGTCTGCGTTGGGAGACGATTGCATTCTGCCGCCAGTGCTAGCAACGATGTTCGTCAGGTTGGTTATTTCTTCATCATTGTAATCTGCAATCAACTTCTATAGCAATTTCTTTTGTCTTGTCTTAATTGGTGCAACTTTTGATTCGATATGTATTGGCCAAAAAAATTGAATAAAACCTCAAAATCGGTGCAATCTAATTTAGTTGCAACTTGTAAGGATCATAATGGGATATAGATTTTTATAATTAGGCTCTGATTTGGTTCTTTATTACATGCTGTCTGTGATCAAATTCATCTGGATTAGCTTCAATGAAGACAGTACAAGTTTGACTTTTGAGGTCAAACTAGTATGCGATCAAGATTGAGATATAGGATTGCTTGTATTTTGGGTATTTCAAACTGAACTACATCGTTTAAAAAGGAAGATGATGCAGGTTGAACTATATGGAAAATGGGACGATTTTGTACGGTATTTATTTTGATTTTGAAGATTAAAACCTTGTTATTTGAAAGCCCCCTTTTTTCCTGGAATTGATGTGTTTGACCATCAAAGTCAAACTTCATCTTCTTAGAAGCAGAGGCATTCATCCCTTCGTTGAAGTAACTGAATCAGTCAATCAACTTTAGGCAATTAAAATGCTGTTTCTGCTAATAAAGCCCTGGTTCATTTGCTGATGATATCTGTTGATGAAGTTGGCCCCATCATTGTCAAGGTGGTATGGAATCAGACCTTTTATGGTTTTAATTTAACATGTGTAGTTTAGTAATTTCTCAATCTTGTATCATCTCCCTTCTATTTGTAATGTATTTGTGTTTCACTCAGTCCTGCACGTCCCTCCTGCCTAATACCGTGCCAAACATGGGACTGCAAATCTTGTACTGTCCCGACTCATCCTGTCGCACGTACCAAACTCACCCATAGGGTACTAATCTTTGTTTTGACATGCTTATTAATCCTTATGAATCTATGTTGATGTAGTTTCCTGCTGAAGCTCCTTCGCAGCAGGTCCTAGATTTTCCAGGTGGAAAAGTTAAGTTTACCCCAAAACTGGCATTCACATCTGGTTCTACTGAGGAAAGGGTCCCTTGTTATCGAGTGCTTGATGACAGCGGTCAACCAATTATCGATAGTGATTCACTTAAGGTAAACCAAAAGTAGATTTAATTAATTAACGAGCCTCTTTCTTACTCTTTCCTGAAGAAACTGTGAAAATGATCTTGTGGGCTTTTGAATATACAGATTAGTAAAGAACTTGCTGTCAAGATGTATTCTGACATGGTAACATTGGAAGTTATGGACACTATCTTCTATGAGGCACAAAGACAAGGAAGAATATCCTTCTATGCAACCACAATGGGTGAGGAGGCAATCAACATTGCATCAGCTGCAGCTCTTCACAATGATGATTTTGTCTTCCCTCAGGTTCTTTCCTAAAAATGTAAACTGTTATTTTCATAATTATAAAGATATGTATGCGCGTTGTTCAACATGCCTGACAAATTTTGTGGTATGCTGATATCATGTGGCATCTTAAATGAATTCTTGACAGGTTTTTTGCTAAATCCATGACCTTCTGACAGGTTTTTGTTAAATCCATGGCTGTCTAATAGGTTTAAGAATGTCAATGCTTAACAAAAGAATGTCACTAACATGCACAAGAATACCCAAAAACCTGTTAGAATGTCATGGTCTTGACAGAGGTTATTTAGAAGAATAAAGGAAGCGAACTACTACCACCATTGATATGCATCTACTTCTGATTCTGAGAAACTAATTTATTGAGCAAAGTTAAATTAGAAAGAGAAATGATGGTCTTTTTACGCATCGATCATTTGATCTTTGACAAAGTTCTTTTTTTTTGTTTGGTTTTCTTATTTCTTTTTTCTGCCCGGATAAGCTTTCGTATTACTTGATTCATAATGGTAACAATTAAGTGTGTGTATATACTGTTTTCATCTACCTCGATGAAATCATCAATACCTGGTAGCTTCTCTTAAATTTGAAGTTGGAGCTGATATCCAAAATCTTGATCTAATGCAGTACAGGGAGCCTGGAGTTCTATTATGGAGAGGATTTCCCCTACAAGAATTTGCACATCAGTGTTTTGGAAACAAATATGATAATGGGAAAGGAAGGCAGATGCCCATCCATTATGGTTCTAGAAAGCACAATTACTTTACAGTTGCATCAACAGTTGCGTAAGATATCAACTTTAATTCCCTCTGATTAATAATTTTGTTTGGAGGGTAACATGTATGCAGACTTTACCTCTATCATCAGAGACTCATAGTTTTGTTGAATACGTAACATAAACTTGTGTGTTACATGAGTAGCAGGCATTCAAGAAGGGACCATTCTTATTCCTGTGACCAATTGTTTTTGTTAGATAATACCAAATTGGTCGATGCTTTATGTATTCCAATTTCCATGTACTCCAGAACACAAATCCCGCATGCAGTTGGGGCTGCGTACTCTCTGAAGATGGAAAAGCAAGATTCATGTGTGATCACATATTTTGGCGATGGAGGCAGTAGTACGGTAAATACACAATATTCAATCCTCATAGTGCTGGATTTTGAAAAAAAGATCATTTTCATCGTCTATTCATTCTAGTTGGCATCTGCTTATTCTAATTTGATTACACCAATCGATCACAGGCAGATTTCCATGCTGCTGTGAACTTTGCTGCTGTTTTGGAAGTCCCAGTAATCTTTTTCTGTCGAAACAATGGATGGGCCATTAGTACCCCTATCAATGAACAGCTTCGAAGTATTTATGCCTCTCCTCCATGTGCTTTTCCACCTCTCCAGACTCCATTTCTACTTAAATTATTGAGTTTTGGGGGATTTGTTCAATTTTAGGTGACGGTATTGTTGTAAGAGGGAAGGCGTATGGAGTTCCTAGCATCCGCATAGATGGTAATGATGCTCTAGCTATCTATTCTGCTGTTCACAAAGCACGCAAAATGGCTATTGAAGAACAAACACCTGTTTTAATTGAGGTTTGTTGTTTCAGTTTCAAATGGGCAAAAGGGTCTTCATGGAAATAGATGCTCTACTTTTTAGAGTAGATCCACTCCCCATATCCCACCTCCAGTTGGGACAGGGACATACTGGGCTTGTTGGGTTTGGTTTGGTGATTCTTTGTTGGCTAATGGTAAAATGGTGTATTGATTGACAGGCCCTCACATACAGAACAGGACACCACTCGACATCAGATGATTCTACCAAATATCGTTCAATTGATGAAATAGAACAATGGCGAGGGGGTCAAAACCCTGTAAAGAGGTTTAGGAAATGGATGGAAAGTAAAGGCTGGTGGAGTGATGAGGCTGAATCTGAACATCATTGCAGCACAAGGAAACAAGTAAAAACTTGAACTTATGGTTCACTACTACCTACTGGAGGTTCATTCGAGAACTATAAGAACCAAATATTCATGATGAATATCATGAATATTCATAATGAATAGTTGGTTCTCAACATGTTTTATCATTTTATGGTTCCTGAATGAACTTTCACCCATCTACCTTTATGTGGAGTTGTTCATATTCATTACCTGATTATACTTCTTGGTAGCTATCGCAAGCGATTCAAGCTGCAGAGCAGGTAGAAAAACCTACGATTGCAGACATGTTCAACGATGTATATGATGTCCTCCCTAAAAACCTTATGGAGCAGGAGGCTTTTATTAGAAAAACCATCAAGAAACACACACAAGATTATCCGTCTGATGTTCCACTGTAAACCAATCTTCATCATTTCTCCATTACTAATTTTATGATTGAAGGGATTATATTTTGAACCATTGTGTTTGCGTAGCCATCGTTGTATTTTAACAATCGTGTTGATAAAGCTTGCAGATACATACAAAATACTTTTCTTTGAGGTCGGAAAACTACGTTGTGCAATTAATCATTTAACATCATATGATGATTTCATTTCAACTTATGTTTGCATACATATATAGAAGAGGTCGTAAAAGAGATAAAAGAAGATGTTGCCATGGTAATCTGAGGGGTAAAGTTTGCATCTGATTTTCAAACCAATGGGTATTATAGTTAGAAACTTCGACTGTTCAGAAATTGGAATCAAGAGAAACAACGGGTCCTAACTAGTCCTAGATCGGCCCTTGCTTTTTTTTGTTGTTGTTGAAAACTGCATCTAAAAGAACATCAGAACATTGCATTAGAAACTTAAGAACTTGCCGCGTGAAAAAATGTATAACGAATTCCAACTGAAACACTAAATATTGGCAAGCACCTTCTAGGAACTCAGCATGCTCCTTTGCCTCCATTTTCTGGGAAACCGTCTAAGCCTCAATTTGTGGGGCGTATTAGAGTTCCACATGACGTAAGCTAGACATGGACCATCAAACCTGTATGTATATATATATATAAACCTGTATAGACCCCTCTCATAAAGAGATTCCTTGAAGAGATTCACAAGGGTTCCACATATCCTGATAGAAGACTTTACAAGCAAATGGTATTTGGCATGGATCTGTTTCACAACAGCAGGCTGCTTGAAGCCATTGCTTTAATCGGAGATGGCCATACATGCGAATATGCTATGGTTTACCATTTTGCATAACCTCAAGGATCAAGTTTGACCAAACTGAATTAGACTACAAAAAGGATTGTCAAGATGAGCTTTGTATTAGAACATGCAACACACAATGTCAGGTATGATCTATGTTGTTATAGCGGTGAAAATACAAAACTGCGGTCAAGACCAATATTTGAAATGGTGGTTGTAGCGTTGGTACAGCGGTCCAAAAATAGCGGTTCATATAATATTACTTAGAACTATTATATATATATATATATATATATATATATGTATCCAGACATAAATTTATCATATGCATTAATTAAAAATATAGTTTCAACATCAAAATATCAACTTAAACAAGTTTCACAAAACAAAATAGGAAAAATGTTCATAAACGAGCTAATCACAAGCAATAGATTCAGCATCCAAGTCATCATAGTTCTAAAGAGGTCCAAACTAAAATATCGGAATATGGGTCCACAATTTCACCTCAAATATCGGTCAATTGCGCCGCTAATATCGGAAACGCAATTTTCACTGCAATTTTATCTTAGTCCGCAATCCTTATGCACCAATAGCGCCACAATTAACAGCATAGGGTCTGATGGGTAAAATGAACATTGTGTCGACGCAAATAAAAGTAAAGGGGTCAGGCGGTGAGCTATCTGCTCAATGCGGAACAAATTGCAAATCCCATCCAAGAAACTCACACCTCTCTCCAACTAGAACCCCCTAGCAAACCCATGGTGCCCATCCATGCCAAACAACAAATATGATCTACTAGCACCAAGTGGTTGACCATGGATTAAACCAATGAAAAAACAAAACTGGACCTGCTGATATGGTCAATCTTCTCTAGCACTTCAATATCAAGATGTCTAGACATGCCCATCAAGCTCTAAACCTCATTTTCATCTACATAATTCTTATCTACTTAATGGAACTAAGAGATAGATGCCTGACTCAAGAAAGCCAGCATTATGTTTCAACAAATAATAGTTCAATTGTGCCAGTTGTCTAGCCAGGAACAGAAGGTTAGGTTAGGTTTCTTTCGGTTTTTCACTTTTGCCTATGTTCTATCAATTCTACAAATACAGAAATCAATTGCCCTTTCCCCATAAAAAAGAATGACTGCCAACTTATCAACAAATAGTTACAGAACCCAGAAGTAAACCACCAAAAAGATTATAAGCAATGCAAATTTGCAGTCGCTGATATGATATTCGAAACAGAGAGCAAGTATAAAACACTAAAACAGGCACAGGCTAACAGTCATCTTTTGATGCTTTTATATGCACATAACAAACTCTATCAATCATCACTATTGCATATTGGTAAACTGAAACAAGATCAACCAAAAACTCATCAAAGTAAGGAATGAAATGAGACCATCAACAAAAACATGAAACATGTTATTTTTTAATTTCAAATGACTAATATCAAGTTCATAACTTAAAGAAAAAAGATTAACAACCATATGTTTCTAAGACAACACTACAAGTTCTTATTTAGAAACCATATTTGATTCATATTTTCCTAAAAGAAAGCACAAAAAGAAAAACACAAACAGACTACTTTTGCCCAGCATGAGGCATCATCATCATTCATTCAACAAAGAACCACAGATTACCTCAATTTCCTGATGAATTGATAGCCTCGTAAACTAATGCTGATTGCTCCTTAAGCAACTCCATTCGCATCACGTAAAGCTGAAGTTCCTGCTTCTTCAGCTTCTTCCACTTCTCCTCCAATTCTTCTCTTTTAGAAGCCTCAACCAACTCCAATCCAGCCTTCACAATCTCCTCCTGCAAAATAGGACAATCGTTGTTTCTACCATACTGAACAAACCGAGAAACATCCATGTTCTTCTCAACCTCCATTGTTGAAACTTCCTTCTCCATTTCCACCCCATTTGCTTTCAGCAAAGCAACACCAGAACTAGTACTAGCAGCATTACCCTTAGCAGGATTGTGATTCTGAGTCTTTTTGCTCTCTGTTCCACTGGTGTGACTATTACTACCCCATATCAATTTCGATAATTCATAACCCTTCTGTTCATGACTTTTGGAAAAACTTCTATCTTTACCATTCTTCTCTCTACTAGCATTATTCACATACTTTTTCTTCAACCTCCTAACTTTGTCAACCAATTGTGCTCTACTAACATCAACATGCAAGGACTTCTTGATAAATTCATGAAATGCACCCATATCAGCAACAGGATTCTCACCATTTTTCTCAGTTTTATAATCAATCATACCTTTCAGGATAACAATCTCATCATCCTCGCTCCACAACCTCTGAAACAGCTGTTTCTTTGAGTCTTCATCCGCTGCCGTACTCTTCTTAGCTTTCTTGGAATCTTTTTCTATAGCCGGCGCCGTAGCAGGCGGGGGTCGCTTGCCGGTCTTCGCCGGAGATGGCGTTGAGCTAGTTCTGGATCCGGACTTTTTGGCTGATTTGGATTCTGGATTCGTCCCTTCTTCTCGTTCCATAGGTTTGGAAGAGATAGGTTTGATGGTAGGGTCAGCCACAACCGGCTTCTTGGGTGGTGAATCGGAATCGGTATCAGAATCCGACCCCTCCGTGCCCGATGAAGATAGATCTGGAGCTTGGGGTTTCTTAGCGGATTGAGGAGCTGCAATTACGGGTTTCTTGGGCTCCTGTTTTTGTTTCTCTTGTGAATCTGAATCGGACACTTCTTCTGATTCTGAACAAGACGTCTGTTCATCTTCTGAACCAGAGGCTTCTTCCTCCTCCTCTTCCTCCTCGGAAGAAGATGAATGATTAGGTTTCAACTCAGGCTGGCGATTCTGCGCCATTGTTTTGAGAGGATGAAGGTTTCTAAATCAGGGTTTGTAAAGCGACAGGAGGAAGAAAAGGAAAAGGGTGCCAGCTGCTCTTACGATCTCTCCAGGGTAGTCCCCCTACGTAGTCTTTATAATTTTATGTTAATTGCCCCTCAATTATTTTCTAATGACATTTATACCCCCTGCATAGGGTATGAAATATTGAAATTGTATATAACTAGTCCTCAATTATTTCTTAATGACATCTAGACCCCCTACATTTGGGTACAAACTTTTTTATTGGAGTAAGTTGTAAATTTCTTCACATACGAATGTAATTGATGAGTAGATATTAGATATTAAATAAATGACTTCCTTAGATGACTGTAGCAACTCTATCTCTGACGATACCTGAAGAAACCCTTTGCACTTTCATCGTAGCAGCCAACCATCACCACCGCCAATCCCCTCCCTCTCTTATATATACACAAACAAGGCTTCATCTCTGACGCTCCTGTCAAGAACAGAAACTAAAAACAAAAATGGGAACGTAGTGGTTGTGTTTTGTTGGAACATTGGACGATTGTGGAACGAGAGCAAAGGTTGAAGAGAAGAGTGAAATGAGATATATAGAGATCGGGCTGCATTTAATTTACCATGTTGTGAGGTAAGCACTTGTTGTCGTTATTTCTGCTTATCTTATCGGGTAATATCCTCGACCATCAAATAGATCGGGTAAAACGATAATCTTTCCAAGTAAGAGGCGTAGTAAAGACTGATAATCTAATTTGATGAATGAGGGAGGAGAAAACTCTTATCTGATTAGTGATGTAAGTGACACATGGTAAGCACTTACCTGATAAATGGTTGACAAACGATCCCTTAATTGATTTGAATTTTGAGATTTTTATAGTTTGTGTTGGTTTCCTTAGATTTTAAATGATTAATGGCTATATCTGTCTCCTTAGAGTGAGTTTTCGGCCCGGAATAAAGAAGGAAAAGAAACTGCATGCGGGGTTCACCAAAAAAAATGGGGGAGAGAGTATAGTTCGTTGTAGGGAAGCAGGGTTTACCCAAAAAAACAATCGAGTTGTAGGATCTATGTTGTGTGTATATACATTATACATACACACACGCATATATATATATATATATATGTGTGTGTGTGTGTGTGTGTGTGTGTGAGAGAGAGAGAGTGAGTGAGAGTGAGAATATATAACAAGATGAAGGATCTTAAGAAAATAAGAGTTAAAATGAGAAGCGTAAGAAAGGATATGGATCATGAATCACTTTTAAATCTCACACTCATCACATGAATTGCACTTCTCATGGGGAATGATGCAAAGGTGGAGATCCCTTCTCACCCTTCTTACCGAAACTTTTATTCTCGCTGGAATCCAACCCTGTAAAAACAAAATACCTAAATATTTTTTTAAACTTTTAATAGAATCTAGTGAACGATACTACAACAAAATTGGGTTTATAAGAAGCCAAAAAAAAATTAAGCGTCTTAATAGACTGCTTTATAGTACTTAATTTATATGATCAAAAAATAAATCGTCTTATCTAAAAGCATTGTAATAAAGTTTATATGATGCTTTTGGATGTTTTAGCAACTATTTTAGGACATTTTTAGTTCAAAAGGTTCTATTAACAATTTTATAGGACATTATTTGAACAAGTGTCCTATAAAAGGATGAGTTTATAGGACATTTTCTCAAAATGTACAACAAAATTGTTAATCCAACGATTTGTATTAAAAAGTATCCTAAAAAACTTGTTATGACGTCCAAAAACGTCCTATCAATTTTTTACAACGCCTAAAACTTTATATTTTGGGCATAAAAATTAAGTCCTACAAAATCGTCTATTAGGACGCTTATAAATTGATGACGTCCTATAAATCTAATTTTGTTGTAGTGCAAAGATATAAACCGTTAAATGTATCGATGACATTAACGAAGTTGTAATGTCAGGGATTGGTTATTAACTTAAGATTTCACAATTTTATGACGAGACAAGTTCAAGATGACCGGTTTTCACAAGATTTTATTTGAATTTCGTTCTCAAAATGGTATGAATTCACAAACTTACATGTTTAAGTGGTTTTTTTCAACTTATGTTTAATTAACCAACTTCTACGAGCCTAATCTAGGATTATTTTTCGTTTTTGTAGTCGTAAAGTAATGATCGAAATTAAAAGAGATTATAATCAACGATGGACGGAAATTCTTTTTTGTCCAGAAAAGGAAAACCCGGACAACTTAAATTTCGATCCCCCACACCCCTCCAAAAAGAGAAAAATGCAATGCAATTAATCTGAAGCATCTCAAAAATGAAGACGTTGATGTTTATTTTGTAACATGTTAGGTTTAACGTCAATTTACAGATAAATAATAATATACAATGAGGTCACTAAATATTGTATTAGGTTCAAATGGGTCCCTCAATTATAAAAAATAGTCAAAGATGTCCCTCAACTCTCAAAATCAATGATCATTCAAGTTAAATCCGACAAAAAGAAAATTGTTGGAAATTGGTAAATGTACCATTATACTCTTCGATTTAATTTCTAAATGTCCTAATGGATTGTTTTATAAGACTTAATTTATAGGACCGGGAAAAAAGTAAAGTGTTCTATCTAAAGATGTTGTAATAAGTTTATATAACGTTTTTTGGCACTTAAACTTATTACAATCCCTTTAGACAAAACCATTTATTTTTTTTGTTCTATAAATTAAGTCTTATAAATAAGTCTATTAAGATGTTTATAAAACTTTGACGTCCTATAAACCCAATTTTATTGTAGTAAAAGTAGTATTCATATGTCATCCACTGTAGGTTTAATTTTTTTTAATGTTTTGACTTCTAAACATTTTACAATTCGATGTAGTTTAGTCATTTTAGGGTTTTTTTTTACCAGATTTGAAGTAAAATGACGCTGATTTAAAAATTAGATATCCTTTTTAACGTTTTTATAGATAAACAATTTATTTGAAATTTCTTGCAAACCTTCTTGCATTTTTTTTTTGTTAACCATGAATGTCCGTGCTCAGATTACGGAATGCTATCTAACTCGAGGCTTAATTAAACGATCTCCAATAAGGATACCAAATCTTAAATCAAATACCAAATTTCACCTCAAATCACTCAAACGGAGACACTAAATCTTACAACAAACTTGGTGTAACGAACCAGTTACACACTAAATTTGGTGTAATTAATAGTATTACACCAAATTTAGTGTGTTACTTATTCATTTTATATTAAATTTTATACCAATTGTAGAAGATAAAAAGATATATCATACATTTTGGTGTAAGATTTGGTGTCAGTCGTTAAAGAAGATTTATTAGAGCATCGTTAAAGGTAGGTTCTTAAAAGTAAAAAGTGTAAATATCTTGTAAGAACAACATATTCGTTAAGTTTATGTACAAAAACTTTGGTTCTTACCTCGAACTCGATGTAGAATGATATTTAGTTAAGTTGGTGGGGGTTGTTATTTGCACCCCCCATAGATTTAAGATGCAAGTTCCAATATTAAAAATCAAAGAAATGTGTGTGCAAATTCCAATATTAGAAGTCAAAAATATATGTAAACAACCTTGAAAATGATGACACCCTTGATTTCTTTTTCTTTTTGATCTATGACATGTATGACTAGAAATGGTTAAATTAAAAAGGTTAAAAAATTTAATTTTAACAACATAATAAATTGATGCAATAAAAAATAAATATTAAATATCAAATGCGGAGAGGACAGCCTGCCGAAGAGGGCAGAAAGCTACAGCGGCAGGAGGCTATCGGACGACGGCAATTGAAGGAAGAGGGAGGGGCAGCGGCTGTCGGAGAGGGCAGAAAGCTACAGCAGCAGGAGGCTATGGGACGACGGCGATTAAAGGAAGAGGAGGGNGGGCAACGGCTGTTGGAGAGGGCAGAAAGCTATAGCGGCAGGAGGCTATGGGACAACGATGATTGAAGGAAGAGGGAGAGGCAGGATTGCGACCGAGGTAGGAGACGTGAAGCGGACTTCATTTTGATTTGTTTTAATTATAATGATGATTTGTCAAAATAATTTCCACATAATATTTGTTTAAACAATTTTCTTCCAAGTCATATTAAATTACCTGTTACCTATTCAACAGGTCAACCATGTCCTTGAATAAATAAAAAGTTTGATAGAGACTCTTAAATGAAGATTTTAAAAATTGGTTCCCCAAAATAAGAATAAGGTGAAAGTTAGTTCCATTTTGATACAATTTTTCCTAATAAAAATGTAGACATACTTAAATATATTGTTTATATAATATAATAAAAATAATAAGAAGAATAAGAATAATCACTTAACAATTTGAAATTAGTCGCATTTTATTTCTTTTCTTATTTGTTATGTTATTTTCAGTATATTTATAAATCTAAGGGGCTGTTTGGCAGTTGCTGAATGATTTAGTGCAAAATAGTTAAGAAGTCAGAATAGTTAAGAGGATCAGAATGGTTAAGTGCTGAATAAAATAATGTTGTTTGGTAACTGTTCTCTGAATGACAACAAATTACCATTTTAACCCTCTGCCTATTTGCAACTGATTCTGCTTTGCTTTCGATTAGTTTCTGCTAGACAACAAGTATCTATATAAATTGGACATCTATTTTGGYTGATGATATCTTGCTAGYAAGAAAGAATGGCATCCAAYCTTTACCAYWTATCATTATCACTTGATCAAGAAGTTCATCAAYGAAGCATCATAGACAGAAACAAGCCACTGTTTCCTAAAATCATGTATCCACATAGACAGAAACCAACATGATTAATTATACTACAATTAGGAAATAGTACCCAGATTAACCTGCTTATGTTTAAAAACAGTACCATGGGCTCAAAGCCACTGTTTCAAGAAACCTCATCGTGTGATTGCAAGGTTTAAACATAAAATTGAAGGAGGCGGTAGAGGAAGCAGATGTAGGGAAACGAGGAGATCGATTTTAGGAAAATACCTTAAGCAGACGACGATCGTCAAAGGAGATGGAGGGAACGACGACCGTCGGAGGAGATGAAGGGGAACGGCGACCGTGGAAGCAGATGAAGGGGAAGTAGGCGACTGTGGGATTATCGCTGTAGGGGCGGCGACCGGAGACAGGCGAACGACGATGGAGGGAAGAGCGGCTGGAAGAGAGGGTAATTTTGGAACAATAGGGAGATGCAAAGATGGTGGAGGCGACAACCGGCGACGGAGGAGACATAGACGGTGGAGGCGACCGGCGATGGAGACGGTGGAGGTGACCGGAGACGGTGGAGAAGACAACTGGCGTGTCTGTGGAATGCGACGTGAAGGCGACGTGAACTCGGTGAAGGCGACGGCTGGAAGGAGAGGAGATGGGGGAAGGGTAATCTTGGAAAAATAAGCCTCTGAACCATTAGGCAACCCATTAGATGCAAAATGGTTAAGAGGTAATTGTCACTATTAAGAGGTTCTATTTTTTTTGCCAAACAGCCTCTGCCTCTTACCGATTAAGAGGTTGTCTCTTAGTGTCACCATTAAGAGGCAAACAAACAGCCTCTAACTTAAATAAACAAATAGATAAGTAAAATATTGAAAAAAGTGATATGTATTTTACTATTTCTATAAAAAGGGAAGTGTTGTATTTTCATTTACATGTAACCATTTCAACATTCTCTCGTTACGATTTCGAACTTGTTAATGGCTAGTTGGAAAGACGAATTTCAATTTTATCGAGATTACAACGCTGAGGTACTTTCACTTACTATTTTGCAATCTTTTTACTTGTTAGTTTGTAAAATATAGTTTTTTATGCATGTGTATGTTTAGGAATATGATATCACAAACCAAACAACTTACAGTGATGTATTTTCATTAATGAGGTATTTTTATTTTACTATTTTGTGACATATTTTCACTTACTATTTTTAAATATAGTTTGTAATATAGGAATATGATATTTACACAAACCAAGCAATTCAAGATGAAAATTTGCATTTTTATAGGAATTCCAATAATGAGGTATTTGTACTTAATACTTCGTCATATAATTTTCATATACTACTTTTGAAATATAGTTTATTTTTTCTATATCTGTATGTTTAGAAGTATAATATTTACACAAACCAAACAATTCAAAATGATGATATTCACGCATTAACATTTTCCACCGACAAGGTGTTCAAATCTCGTCAAGATTTAATCGATTGGGTGCAAAAGTTGGGACGTTCCCTTGGTTACATTATTGTCACGAAAAGATCCAAGACAAAACAAAGTGGAGACATGTCTAAAGTTATATTAATATGTGATCGTGGTGGTAAATATAGAGGTAATGGTAGTTCTAGTAGACATATTAGAACTAGAAAAATGAACTGCCCATTCGAGTTAGCAGGAAAATATTCGTCGAAGAATGACTGTTGGACGTTAACAATGATATGTGAAAAACATAATCATGAACTTGCAGAAGATATGGAGGGTCATCCATATGCAATGCGATTGACTGAAAACGAAGTCCGCTTGGTGGAAGATTTGTCAAGGAAGAAGGTCAAAGCATGTGATACTCTATCAACATTGAAGAAGAAAAATCCAGATAACGTGTCTACACTCAGAACAATATACAATGCACATCAAAAGTTTTGGGAACCGGACATGAAGGTAGAACTCAAATGCAAGTTGTCATGTCATTTCTGCAGCAAGAAGGCTATATGCATAAGGCGCGTGCAAATAACTTTAATCAGTTGGAAGATTTATTTTTCATTCATCCAATATCATTGACATTGTGACGTGCATTTCCACATGTGTTGTTGATGGATGCCACGTATAAAAAGAACAGATATAAGATGCCCCTTCTTGAGATTGTTGGTGTAACATCAACTAATATGACTTTTTGCATAACATTTGTTTTTATGAATAAAGAAAAAGAATCCAACTATACATGGGCATTGAATTGTCTCAAAAAGACAATGGACGGATGTGCATCCCCATGTGTTATCGTGACCGATCGAGAGTTGGTTTTGATGAAAGCATGTAATAATATATTCCCCGATGCTAAACAACTACTTTGTAGATGACATATTTATCAAAGTATTTTGAGAAAGTGCAAACCATCAATAACGTCGCATCAATCTTGGAATTTCTTTTACAAAGCATGGACGTTATTAGTTGAATCTCAAACAGAGGAAACATACAAGTTCAATTTAGCACAAATTGAAAATATATTGCTCGAGTATCCAGATATTACTTCTCTCTCTCTCCTTCTTTATCTCTCTCTCTCTCTCTCTCTCTCTCTCTCTCTCTCTATANTATATATATATATATATATATATATATATATATATACGAGTAAAATTAATATTACTCGACTATCCAGGTATTACTTTTTCACACGATTTTTCATAAAATAAAACTCATGATTTTTTATATTTAGAGTTAGTGTTTATTTTTTTTGTTATTCTATTTAATCCAAATGACTTATTATTCAAATTTATACGTATTTGATTAAAATAAATTTGTCTATGCGTATATGTATTTTGATTGAAATAAATTTGTTTAAATTTCAGACGTTATTGATTATTTGAACGAAATATGGTTGAAACCATATACGCAAATGTTCGTATCCGTTTCGACAGACCGATTTCTTAACCTTGAAAATCACACAACTAACATAGTTGAAAGTCAACATTCTAAGTTGAAACTTGAAACTATACTTGGATTCGAACCAAACAACTTTACGGGCATTTCTGCATGATATTCATCAACTCATTCACTCATAACATACGTCAATCAAAGCAAGCTTCCAGCAGAACAAAAATGTCATCAAACATCGATATAACAAATCACACTCCCACCAGCTACATGGTTTTGTTTCATTGTATATGTTGGAATTAATCTTCAAAGAATTTAAACGGTCGAAAGATCTTGGCTTAGTTTCAGAATGATGATGTAATAATTAAGTTATGATAAATAGCAGATAAGAACCCATAAAAATACAAAAATAGGTTATTATAATCGGATCATCATTTACAACAGAATAGACGTATTTATGCATCATTCACGTACGCCTGCTTCAAAATATACAAAAAAAACTTAGAATAAATTCTAAGTTTCACCGATCAAATTAATAAAAAAACAAGGTTTAAAACCATGACCTCCTGAACGATAACGACTCGTTGTAATGATATTACAACGAGATCTCGTCATCAGCCGAAAACACAGCCAAAAGCGAAAACTTGACACGCATTGATATCTTACTCTTATCGACCATGAGCCTAGCGCCCGATACAACCCAATAACCCGGCAAATCCTGAGGCCCTCTCGTTAATTCCGTTGTATCCACAAACTTCAACAGCTTCTTTCCATGAGCCGACACCGGCGGCCCACGTGGCAACGCCGAGTTCACGTTGATGTCTTTTGGCTGCGGTGGCGGTGTTTGAACGCTCGAAAACCGAGTGGACATCAGGGTCGAAACGATCCCTGATTTTTGACTCAGAACCGGTGAGCCATCCCATTCGGGTTGTCTCACCACTGTGGCCCCCACCACTTTTGCAAAACGAAGACGTAAGAACAGGACTCGTTTTAGACCGGTGTCGCTCACTTCGAACTCGGCACCGGTGACAACCGCGAGTTCGTCTTCCGACTCCACCGGGGCCGTGCATATGTGTGAGAAGCTTTTCCATTGGACCTTCTCGTGGTACCTTCGGTCACCATAGCTTGTAGCTGAGTTCGTGTATGATCCGAGCGTGACGTTGAAGCTTTTCGGCATGGATGAGAGGTGCTGCAAATGGATCGCTAAGCAATCGTTTCGCTTTCCTTCTAAATAAAGGCGAAGGCCCGTCACCGGCTTGTCTCCGACATCCACCTGCCAGTTTTATCATCGGAAAAGCTAATCAGTACGCGATAACCACAAAACGACAAACAATTATACACAAAACATTACCTGATTGGTGTTAACGTAGAGCTTCGGGCCCAAAAATCTGAACTGTAACGATGCATTGTTTTGCTGTTTCCCCTCGGGACCGACTGCAAGCACGCCGAACTCTGGTGCCCATTGCTTCGGAAGTTGAAACTCTAAAAACTGCTGAAGCTCTTCGATTGGTGGTTTATCTGCATGACACAAAAGGGTATTTTAGACATTTGACTAACGAATCGTCAAGCATTATAACTTCAATGGCACGGACCAAATAAGCGTAAATACATAGATGTTTGTACTCACATCGTATATAAAGATTGATGGCGTGAGTCAGGAATCCGTTGCCATCAATTCCGCTCAATAACGATGTGATTGGAACAAACGACATGGAGATCACTTCGGGTTCAAGTTGAACCGTTTGACACCATGTGCGATGGTCGAGGTTTTTGCCGTAGCTTCCTCCTCTCCTTCTCCAGAAAAGAGTTACATCCTGCAATAGAGCAATTGAAAGAAACACAAAACAGAATGTCAGTCCAATAGCCAAATGCGTATACAAAATGCACTGTTAGAACATTTCTGAGCCGATTTTGTTGTAGTGATAAGCCCGTAGCTTGTTAACAAGGGGAACTATGGCTAAACTCTAACCTCGACTGCCGGATCCAGTGCGATCAAGCCATAGTCATTCCTTTCAAGCTGAAACGAATAATTCCATTTTGAAAACCGAGCAAGTTAAATATATCGAATTGAAAAAAAAAATAGGCAATAACAATGTTACAAACCGGCTCCAAATCACGGGTTTTTCTTGGGGCATCGTTGCGCTGTCCACTGAATCGCTTTTCCGCTACATCCTTGAGCTTTCTTTGCACCTCGTCGGACGGAAGAGTTGACGAATGTTGTTGCTTCATATACACGACGTCTTTTCCTCCCATTTTCACACCAACAATCACATGAGTACCAAACTTTTCGATAAACCTAACGAAATGAAAACAAATATCAAGATTTTTGAAAACAAATTGAAATCTCTGTGATCGGTCTATTTGATGGTGTAATCATTCAAATGGTCGAACCACGACGGATGAGCCCGAGTTTTGCTTACTTGGCCAATGCTGCAGGTTCCCATGTAGATGGAACCGCGTTTTTTACTTGATCACTTAACGTCATTTGGGATTTCTCAAGGGTGATGCTGTAAAGCGTTATGAATACGCCATCTATCGCGAGGGCTTTCGTGTTGGCTGCATCTTTTTGCCAAGATCCTGTGAACTCGAATGCAGCATTGAATTGGCCTGTCGGGATTCGTCCGGAGAGCGCTACATCCTGGTTAAATTGTTCCGCCATCTACAAAAACAAGAAAACCATATGTCAATACAACAAAATCGGCTTTATAAGACACCAAAAATGTCTAAATGTCGTCATAGACTGTTTTATAGTACCAAAAGTTCATTAAAACATATTGACGTCCAATAATCTGATGTTGTTGGTATATTACTCTTAAAAGGCACAGCAATCGGGCAGTTTTGAGGTTAAACAGTTATGGTGATTCTGTTATGTTTCACAGAAGAACACCCACAAACTCAAAATCAAGAAATCTTGATGGGTCTATGGTCATAAACATGAAGATCATCACAATCAAGAACAGACAGGTTGACTTTGCTGGTCAAACCGATTACTCTGCAAATCAATAGTTGGTATATATCAAGAACACACGAAACAATTCAAACCTTCATTTTTTAAGAATCTTCCAAAAACAAGGTGTAATCATGTCAAGGATTCTACGAACTTTCCCAAATCAGCAAATAGATTAAGATTATACTCATATATAATCACGAAGAAGATTGATGTTCAGATACCTGCTGAAAAGATAGAACGTCTGAGCTGAATCGCATCCTTTCACCTTTATCACAGTTAATCGATTTTGATACATTTTGAATCAAAATCCCACCAGGAATCACGATATCCCTAACCTGTTCATCATCTATTCCGATCAATCTCGACTCCGGCGACTTCCCTTTACAGTACTTCAACCTCAAATCCTCCGCCACATCGTATCCCAACCCGACCGCCGCGATCGCCGCCTCCGCCGCTGCCTTCAGGCGCAACCCCACCTCTTTACTACTACTTCCCATCAAAATTACTTCAAAAAACCCGCAAAAGTTAGCTGAATCCGTAGAACTTTTGCCCTCAATTTCTTCGGTCTGAATCAAGAAACAGTCAACTGTGTTTCTAGATGTTTAATTGACTCAGAATTAAAATAAGGTTTGTAGTGGGAGATGATGAAATGGGTCGTCAGATTTCACATGTTTTTTATTGGAATTATTGTCGCGTAAATTGTTGGTACAATCCGCGGAAATAAAGTCAGAAAGGAAGAGCGGGAAATGATAGAGAAAGGTGGTGGTTCTGGACGCCGGCGGAAAGACAATTTGATGGTAGTTGAAGATTCCTTTAAACAACACACAGCAATCGCATTTAAACCCATATTTATTGTTCATTTGAGTTAATTACCAATTTAATCTGTAATTATAATTAATAAAACATAATTACAATAATCTGACATGGGATTTATGCATCATGCCATTGCCCTCATTTTAAGCTCTTTATGCCAACTGCATCATGTTCATCTTTCATCTACATTAAAAAACATTTATATTTTAATGTATATATATATATATATATATATATTATATTTTAAAGTATTTGACAAAAACTCTTAAAAACTATTTTTTATGTATGAATTACTGTATATTGATGCATATTACTTAAAATTCAAGATTACAAGTAAATTATGCATAAGTACAACTTATTAAAGCTCTATGTTTGAATTCGTGTAAATAACTGCGTATAAACATAATTAAATAGAGGATAAACATCTCATTTTAAAATATAAAAAATATAAAATATAATTAGGATATTTATTGAGTTCTAATAAAATAATTAACTATTATCTTTATAAGAAAATTATATTATTAAACCAAATATAAATTACTTCGTTATTGAACGTAAATTAAATTATAATAAAAAATTTGAATTAAAAAAATTACACAAAAAGTAAGAATTTTAAATAGTTACTTTGATACTAATATCGATATATTTTTGTCAATTTTTTATAATATTTTCAATTTTATATTTTATTAAAAAAATAAAAACATCATCGCTTTTTCAAAATTACATAAGACCATACTATAACATTGACTGAGATAAAAAATAAAATGATATATTAAAATCAAGATATATCTCGATACATTACGCAAGTACCCTTCTAGTGTATATATATATATGGTTTATTTAACAATTTTCATTCTTACAGTTTCGAAATTACAAGATAACTATTGCAGTTTGCAAAAACATTTGGATTTGGTCCTTTGTTTTCGACGGTTAAATAAGAGACATTTCCATCATTTTATTGATTTTCTTTTTATTATTTATCCAATCAAAATTGATCTTACGATTTTGGTCCATATAGTTTTTGATTGGATAAAAAACAAAACAAAAAACAAAAATGCCCCTCATTTAAAAGACAACCATTGGAGAGAGCGACCAAATCCGTGTGTTCTTTTATAACCATGATCGTCATCTTATAATTTTAAAACTGTAAGGACGAAAAACGTTATTTTCGACAAAACTTGTAGTTTACTTTATATATAGATATACTACTCTAGATTATAGGTATTATAGTTAGATCTTCGAATTACAGTTAAATTACTAAACTACCCAAAAGGAACGAGTCCAATGGACTAAAATCTAAGGTTGGTCAACCTCTTTACCTGCCTAGTTTTAAGCTTTTCATGCCATTTAATCTCTTGCCCTTGTAAACAAAACCAGCAAAAGAAACCTAATTAATCCCCTCTAAATTTCCAAAACGAAATTCAAATGGAAGATGTAAAAAATGGTAAAAGAAGCCCAGAAAACCCTTCTTCCAAAAACAACAATAAAGAACAAGACCGTTTCCTCCCGATAGCGAACGTCGGCCGCATCATGAAAAAAGTGGTCCCGGGGAACGGAAAAATCTCAAAAGACGCAAAAGAAACGGTCCAAGAATGTGTCTCGGAGTTCATTAGTTTTGTGACGGGTGAAGCCTCGGATAAATGCCAACGAGAAAAGAGAAAAACAATAAATGGCGACGATATAATTTGGGCGATAACGACGTTAGGATTTGAGGAATACGTAGAGCCACTCAAACTGTATCTGGTGAAGTATCGGCAACTTGAAGGCGACAAAGTTAGCAACAATGTACCTAAACAACAATGCATCGAAAGACAACAACAACATAGTTTGCCAACTTATAAGAATGTTTATTCGTCAGCCGCTGCAGCGAGTATTATGTCGCAACCGCCTTTTGCAACGATTTTCGAGCAGACGTTTGCGTTGCCGTTTTCGTCAAATTCGATTCAATCACAATTACACCGTCAACAAGAAAGCATTGATTCGGTTGGCCAATGGTAACTTGATCTTCTTCTTCATTGTTATTCATTTGTAATTGAGTTTTTTTTAATAGAAAAATAGGATAATAGAGAGAATTTTCTGAAAACAATGTGGTTTATTCTTTCAAATATAGCCCATGGGATTGTTCAAGTTTGTATAGTTTCAAGAATTTAATACTAAGTTATAGAATGTACAATTTGCTAGTTTTATATCATATTCCTTATTGTTTATATGAGTGTCGAAGGGTGTGAACGTTTATCGGTAACTGAAAATACGTGCGTCTCTGATCTCTGCAAACGGGCGTGGAAATAAGGTATGATCTTTGAGGTTTTGATTCAACGAGATGACTTATAGAAAGCATGTTATTTTCTAGTAAAAAATGTTGATGAAAGTGGATTTTCGATATGGGTTCTCAAGATTCTAAAATTTCATGGAATTTGGTTAGATTAGGGATTTTTCATATAAAAGAGAAGAACTTTTTAGAGCAAACCTTAGCGTTCGAACTCAATTCATGCATCTATTCAAAATCATATTAGAATGTTTAACGATCTTAAGTCTTGGACCATGGTCTTGAATATTTAGTGACGCTAAAAAGCTTGTAAATGGTTCGCCAGATACAATCAACCTCGACATTTGAAGCTGCTCAACCACTTCATTTTTAATATCAAAGAACCCAAATTTGGTTAAAGCAAGCTCAAATTTGGGTGAAGCAAGATGGGATTCCATTGAGGCAAGTCTCGCAAACATCTCAGTATGGCTGAATCAACCTGAGGAGTCAGTGTTATGTCGTAAATTCTTAGAGTCATTCCTAGTGCTCGAGACTCTAGACCATCCTCGAATATAGTATGATCATTTACCCACGATCTGTTGCATAATATTTAGATCATCGAAATGGGTTTCTGTTGATCTGGTCTACTGCTTAATCTCTACCATATTCTCCTACACACAAGAAAAATGAGTGTATATATATATGCATCTCAATGATTTACAAAATGATAAAGACATGCAAAAGAATTTGTTAAATGTAACTTACATATGAAGTGCGAGAATAGTCATTAACTCAACCCATTTTTTTCTCTATAATGCAACTTCCGAAGAAGTCTCTATCTCTTTGATAGGAGGATCATTTGACAATCCTATATTTCATAAATGGTAGAGTGCTCACAGTACCATTTAATTCATATATATTTGTTTCCCCTATTATCATAATTTTTTCTTGACATAGCCTACAACATATATTCAAATTTATTAATTGGAAACCAAATATGATACGGTACATGACATCAAGATAATAGAATAACATAAAATAGTCAAAGTCAGAACAGGGGTGAGCCTAACCTCCATGGAGTTCAGGAGTTCAAAGTGTTGATGACATGTTGTATATGAAATTTTATATGGATGCCTACTTCAAGCAAGGACTAAGATGACATTCACAGTTGATCAAAACGACCTAGAGGTCCCTAGGTTGATAGCAATAAGAAGTCAGGGCCGACCCTGGCTATAGGCCGTGAAGGCAACCGCCATGGGCAGCAGATCTCTAAAGAGCATCATTGTCTCCGTCCATTTTTCACTGGAGTATGCTCAATTTAGGAGGAAAAATAATATGTTTTCATTTTTCATGCCCTAGATGCTCTCTCGCTCTCGCTGTCAATCTGCATCATGCCATCCTCTCAATATCATATACAATAAGCCCTCTTGCTGATTTTGGTTTTCCATCTACCCTTTCTCTTATTCTCGGTTTCGATTTTCCATCTACCCCTCTCTTATTTCATGATTATGATTTACCATATGCCCTCCAGATTGAAATAGGCGATTATGCTCCAGTCTAGGTAAATAGATTAGGAACAAGTTTTATTATTTTTAGTTTTTTATACCTCCGATTTATTAGAATTTATGATTCTTCTGTAAATTATTTATGGTTGTCGTAAATTTTACCAAAATTTGTTTGGTTTGAGGTGTTGTGGATTCCAGATACAAAAAAGTTACCGCCTTTATTCATAAAAGTTTAATTTTTATAATATTTTGGATTAAAAAATTAAACCTATTTATAAAGGTTAAAACTTTATTGCTTTTTATCCATCTAACTTTGATAAATTTTTTCAACATCAACAGACTAGTAACAATGTATGTGTGTTTGTGTTTTGCAGAGAAAAAGTGTGTTAACAACAGCAAAGTGTGTGTGTTTGTGCATTTTTCCGGTGATGATTAAGAACCATTTATGTGAATAAATTAAAAAGAAAATCACAGATTCTTCCAATCGACTTCCATCTCTTTCTTATATACAACCCATAACGACGGGGAACAAGTTTTATGGCTTCCCTCCTCGGACGGCTGCATGCCTACACCACCACAAACACTTGGGGACTAGATTTGTCGTCGGTGATGGGCGGTTGAGGTGGGGAGGGAAGGGGTAGGTGGGGAAAATCGAAACCGAGAGGGATGGCGTTGGCTGTTGGCTTGATGGAGATCGTTAGATGGAGATGGGTGGTAGTAACCGGTGCCCCGCTCCCGATCAAAAAGAGCGTGCAGGATCTCGTGGATATGAATAGGGGGAGATGGAGGACGAAGCGGGAGGGGCATTGGTCGGCGATGGAGATCGCCGATGATGAGAAGGAACGTGGGTGATGAAGCCGATCACTTCAGAGGTTATGTATGAATATGTATATATAAGTATAATAATATATAATGATAATAATGTGTTTTTATTCTTTAAAAGAAAAGTTCAAACAAAAGGATTTGATTTTAAGAACACAAATTGAACGATGAATCGAATGATGAGGGTGAATTGATCACACATGAAAAGAAGATAATGATAGCGATAGTGATACAGTGATGATGATAGTTGTTATTTAACATTGGGCTACATGATTCGAACTACAAAGGAGATTGAGGTTGACATGATATATTTCAACGTCAAACATGTATTAAAATATTAAATAAAACATACAAAATTACAAAAACTAGGGGCATAAAAAAACCAACAAAACGCAATGTTGTTTCTCGTGACATGTTTGGTTTTCGGATTAATTTTGATCCACGTCTATATATTTAACTTTGAGTAAATTATAAATTTTGTCCCTGTGATTTACACAAAATCACAGTTTACCTCCCTAAATCAAATAATTATAGGAAATGTTCATATGCTTTACATCTTCACAGGTCTTTAGTGCATAAACCCAATACTGTTAGATTAATTTCAAGGTTATTCTAGTCATTTTATTACTTTTTAATGTTCTATTAAAAACTTACTTTTTATTTAATAAATCGTAGAGATCAGGAATGTAATACAGAAATCACCATTACACCACCCCACCCATCACTTGTCTCGCTCCCGTACGTTGCTCCATCTCCAGCCTTCCTCTCTCCCTCTTGTGATGCAGAGTGTGATTTTGTGTAAACCACATGGACGGAAATTCTAATTTATTCTTTAATCTTTAAATTTTAGGTTTTCAAATAGACTATCATATCACTACAAAACAAAGGAGTATCACAGATGTATTCATAAAATTGCAATTTAACAATAAAATTGTTTAATCATAAAAGATTTTGTCGTTAATAAAATTAGGGTTGTAAAGAGTTAAGTCATTACCAAACAAAGACTTGACTGACGAAAAATCCATCAGTAATCCGCGAAAAAATCTATCATCGGTGAATTACCGGCATATCTCATCGTCGTAGAAAGTGTGGCCGATGTGTGATTATCGGTGGATTTTCAATCACCAACAGAAAAAATATGTCGGTAATCTGTCGATGATGGTTAATCCGTCTGTAATTAATAGCTGAAAAATCCATCGGTGAGGTGTTTTGTTTTGTAGCAAGTTGAGCTCGAGCTTGAATCGTGTTAATCTAAGCTCAAATTCAATTTAATAGCTCAACGAGTTTTCTTGATAAAAGTTTGTGCTTGATTCAAGAGATTGAATAATTTGAAAATATTCTACAAGATTTTGCTTGAAAAGGCAAGATTGATTTGAAAGCTTAAATAACTTGAAATTCTTTTTGCTAAAACGAGCTCGATCTGAACTCGGCCCATAAATATACACAGACTTATCATAAACTATATGCATATTATGCGTACAATTTGAGAAGCCCCATGAAAATATAAAGTGAGTTCTTACAATTCGAAACTCGACTTGTTTTATGTTTCAAACTCATATTTGTATTCAAACTTTATGAATTCGACTAAGTTCAGTAATTGAAGTTGAGCACGAATAATCTGATAAGAGCTCGACTCGTTTACACTGCAAGAACAAAATAGAAAAATATATACATTGATAATTAAAATTACAAATTTTTAAGTAACTAGTGACTACTAAAACTTATAAAAAGTATGAAAAAATGTCTCAACAGGCCCTTCAACTTCTGCAAATTTTCCATTTAAACCACTCAAGTCGGTTAATTACATCAAATATATCAAAAAGATCCAACATAGAAAACACCACTTCTTTATACTTATTTAGGGTTCGTTTATCAAACACTTACTCTGTAAGTGCTTACCGGTAAAATTTAACACTATTAATTACTTATCGGGTAAGATTTTAGTCCATCAAAACGACATCGTATGCAACAATTCACCCTGTAAGCGCTTACCGTGGTAAGAGTTGTCGCCCTCACTTACCGGGTAAGACTCATGGTCTTTGTCTCGCTCTTACCGGGTAAGATTCTTAGTTCTTATCATATTCATCCGGTGAGGTAATGTGACTTGATAAGCGCTTACCCGGATAAGTGTTTGGTAAACGGCTCCTTATTGGTTAAAATATAAAAAGAACGAACTTCTACTACTTAATTAACTAAAAGTTATAGCGATTAAAAGAATAGAAACAAAAACTTTAAATTAAAGCAAGAGAACAAGATAACAAAACGAAAAGGGGCGAGGGGGAAGTGAGCATACAGGAAGTCGACAATAGGAGAAGGGAGGGACAGAGGTAGAACACAAACGGATTGGATCAGCAGTAGTGGAGGGGCCCAACAGAATTTTATACTTAAAACTTTAATGAACTGCAGATGTTTCACTCTATCAGGGGGAAAAACCTAGAGGCCAAGCCCCCTATGGCCATACGCCCCTGGGGAGGGATGGTTGGACGAAGGACATCGGTGGTCCTGCTGGGTTTTTGATGTTGATGGTGATATATGATAGGTAGAGGTGCGTATAATCAATCAGTATCATACAAATATCGATTTTATTTCCAATTCAAATTTTCATTCATTTCGATAATCTATAAACTTAAATCGAAGAAGATAATGATCATTGACATACAACCTTTTGTAGCGTAGTTTTTGTCATCGGGAGATGCTACAAAAATGAAAAACCAAAAAATACTACATAAGTTGTTAAATTATTTGATTTAATATATATGATTAAATAAATGGTTAGATAATATTTTTTAAATTAAAAAAATTTGAATAAAAATAAATAATCAAATCAGTAGTTGTCTTTCCAAAGATATATAGAAGTATTTGAGACCCGTGACCCTGACCTCGGTATCATCCATCCTTTATTTACAATTTTGGACGCATATGTATAATTATGTAATAGATAATTAAGTAAACTACAAATTTGGTCCCTGAGGTTTGATGGTTATAACATTTTTGGTCTCTATGATTTCATAGCTCCAAGTTTGACGTTTTGGTATATAGAAATAACCGGATTTGATCCTTCCTGTAGCGACCGTTAGAAAAATCTGTTAAGTAAGGGGTATTTAGGTTTTTTTTTGATTTTTTTTTTGTTTTTTTTGCATTAAAATCTAAAAGCCCTTTAATTGGACTCACTAAAAGTGTGCCATGTGTCCATCAACTTCCCTCAAAGTTCTCTGTCAACCGCTTAACATCTATCGATGGTGAACCACCTCTGGTCATCTTCTCCGGTCGGAACTTCATTACAGTCACACACTAAAAGTCAAAATCCAACCAAAAACTCATATCTAAACCTCAAAATCAAACCAAAAACACAAATTAAGGGCTCAAAATCCAACCAAAAACTCAAATCCAAACCTCAAAGTTAGCTAACTCAAAAATCCTAATCCGAATCAAAATTAAAAAAATACCCCCAATCTAAAATCATATAACACAAAAACCATATGAAAGAGAGAGAGAGAGAAGACTACGATTTTGTTCAAAAGAGGTGTAACTTGGGAGTGGGGGGATTGAAGGCTACATATATGGTTGTCTTTGTGCAAATAGAGAGATGAAGAGAAAGGATGCACATTGGTGGAGGGATAGAGGACCGGAGATCGACCGAGGGAGGGGTACACACCGACATGGGGATTGGGGGTGTAGTCGAATGGATTCATCGTTGAGGGTTCATCGTTCTTTGTCTTTCTCCAAATACACACCACAAGTTCGATGGAGTGGCTGATGGAACCTGTTGGAGATGATGATCTGCAGTGAGGAGTGCAGGGGGGCGCTGGGGCCGTTGGGTGGTGCATTTGTGCTCCAACCATATTCTTCCACATAAGGAGACTAGTGGTTGGGGTGAGGGGACGAAGTAGGCGACCAATGTCGGGGTGAAGGACGAAGAAGGCATTGGGGTTGACCGGGAGTCACCGCAGTGTAAAAAGACCAAAATACCCCCTCCTTTAACGGATTCTTTTAACGGTCGTTAGAAGCAGAGACCAAATATGGTCGTTTTTGCATACCCTAATAACGAAACAAATTTGTAATTTCAAAAACTGTAGGGATAAAAACATTATAACCACGAAAGCATAGAGACCAAGTTTGTAGTTTACTTTAAATAATTTAATTATAATCATTATGTTTGGTTTTAACTTGTAAAAAATTTGTTCTAATTGTAAAAACCAATTTACAAAAAACACTCCATATTTAGAAATCTTTTAACATTAAATGTAATAAATACAAATTTAACATTAAAAATGAAATAATAACATCATTGTAACTTAAAAGATTAAATATTATTATGTTTATCTGAAATAAATCAGAATGATTAAAAGCAGTATATGAAATATTCGGTTTTTGAATAGCGTAACTTAGCAACAATAACGATATAAACGAACCCAAACTTTGCAATTAATTTTGGATAAATAAGATTAATTAAAAAAATGAAATTAAGAAGGGCAACTTTTTAAGTCCCCTTTTGGGAGCATCTAACCCTTAAAATCACATATGAAATAAACCTATAAACCAAAATAAAACACACCATAATCACAAAGTTCTTCCACTTACCCTCTTTTCTATACCCTCCTTGTTCCCTTAACAAATCTTCACCGGTCACCAAACACTTCCCAAACAATTCCTCCAAACACCGCCCTTCACCACCGCCGGAGAACTCATTCATCAACAACCCTTCAAACGGATACTTAAACAATGAGATATAATGCATGAAAATCCAATACTTTGGCATACCTTTTTCCGACACAAAGTAACCGGAAAACAAGAAAAAAGATCCCATCACGCCGGATATTACCGAGTTTCCGATGATGAAATTTGGTACCAGTGCGCTAAAGCACACCACCACTGAGTTTGCTGTGTAGAGGATTAACCAGATCAACAGGAGGAACCTCGAGAATGCCAAGAAACTATGGTTTAATCCCACCAACCAGTACAAAGGGGTGGCGAATAGAACTGCCAAGATTAGCAAAAATGGTAAGTATACGAGCCCATTTGCGATTGCGTATGAGGAAACTCGATAGCTTCCACATGAAGTTTCTTTCATGAGTATTTCCCTTTCTTGCAAGAAAACTGGTAGAGCTTCGACGGTGGTTGATAGCAGAAATGTTAAAATGAATGCAAACAAACCAACCCTTTCTTCGGCTCCCATCAAGTCCATGTCTAGATTGTAAAAGATAGAGCCTAGAATCAAACCAGATACAAGCATCTGGAGTGTTCGACAAGCGAAAAGCTCTTTTGTTCGAGAAATGTTCTTCCAGAATCGATGAGTCAAGATTACTGTTTCGTATAATCTTGAATTTGCAAACCCATCTTGTATCGTTCGTTCTTGATCATCTTGTTCTTGCGTTTGCTGTTTTTCTCGATCTTGATCTTGCTTCTCGTCATGATCATGGTCGAGGTCAATTACTTTTGATTGTTGAAAGAGTTGTTGCAAAGTGAACTTACCTTGAGTGATTCTGTTAGTTGGAGCAGTAGGTTCTTGTTCAAGATTTGAAGTCTTTTGGTTCTTTTGTTCTTGTATCGTATCGATGGAATCAATTGCAAACTCAACGATGTTAACATGGAGAGGTGGCTCGAGCCCAATGAGCCGTAGAGAGAGGTTGAGCTCATCGACTGTTCCCTGGTGCAAAACGGTGCCATTCGCCAGGAGTAGTATGGAGTTGAAGAGCTTGATGATTCTGAATCCTGGCTGGTGGATGCTAAGGACCACGGTTTTGCCTCTGGTCTCCGCCATGGTCTTGACCATATCTATGATCTGGAACGCGCTGTTACTATCCAACCCAGAAGTGGGTTCATCCAAAATCACCACTTCTGGGTCATGAACCACCGCCACGCCGATAGAAACGCGCCGTCGCTCTCCGCCTGAAATCCCACGAACCCGATCATCCCCAACACGTGCATTAGCCACATGGGTCAACCCAAGTTCCTGGATCAACGATCTGACCCGAGAACTCAACTCTGGTTTAGGAAGTTTCAGCCGGAGTTTAGCAGTAAAAACTAGGGTTTCTTCGACGGTGAGAAGAGGGAACAAGGTATCCTTTTGCGTAACATACCCCGAAATCTTCTTGAATCTTGACTTGTCCACCGGTTTCCGGTTGACACAAATCCTTGACGTCTGAGGAGTGATTTTTCCGGCGAGGATCTCAAGAAGGGAGGACTTTCCGGCACCGCTAGGACCAACGATGGCAAGAACTTCCCATGGTTTTGCATGGCAACTTACATCCCGAAGAACCCGACGAGCTCTGGGGTTGGTATCTGGTGCAGGATCAGAAAAGGATTTTTGATGTTGATGGGGTTGTAGTTCGATAAATTGCTGATCTTTGTTGAAGATCTTGAAAGGAGGTTGTGGTTTTTGAGTGTAGATTGTGTAATTGATGCCTGTTGCTTCAATGTCACAACCCTTTCTATTCATCTGGAGTGAAGTCTGGTGTTTTTCAAATGTTATTTGCTTCTGGTTTTATGAGTACAAGTAAGCTTTTCTTGGAGCTTTTCACATCAGAGGACTTCTTTGTCCGTACTTCTGTTTGCATATATATATATATATATATATATATATATATATATATATTGTATGTATATGTATATATGGATGTTAATTGAGGTGAAGTGGAAATGACAACTAAGGACCCGAAGGTTACTTGCATGGTTCACATGCAACTCATTTGGAAGACCACTATGTGTCTCAGACCATGCAAAAACAAAATCCTTTCACGTGAAATCCTCTCTTGGGTTTCTTGTTTGTAACCTTCTCATCATCACATTTTTCAATGGGAAATTATGTCAATTTTTAATTATTCGATACATATAATACAACTTTTAATGCATAATATACAAATCATTATTATATATAGAAAGCACCGACCCAATGAAGCTTGTTGGAGGATGACCAACCATCGTCCTTCCACTTCCATTAGCACACCTCAAGAAATCATGTGTAGGTGATCTTGAATAAGTTTAGTTTTTCTATTGAAACAAATATAATTAGATCGAAGAAAGAAGTTAACGTCTATGTATGTAACTTCACATCAATCTTTATAGCTATACAATGACATGCATGTGTAACACATATGGATGCATTTATAAAGTTAGTTTCATATAAGAATAATATCAAATAAGAAAATAAAAAAACAATCGAGTTAGATGTGATTTTACACTATGTGATTAGGTCGCGGCCCACGTTGCCCCCATATCCTTGTGTTGACCGTTAGTGTAAAATTACATGTGATTTTGCACGTTATTTAGCCGTTATCATGTTCTCTTATTTGCTTATTGTTCTCATTTGAACCTCCATCTACATTTATAGTTATATATAGATATAGAGAATCAGATTCATATGAGAACAATGTTCAAATAAAAGAACATAAAAAGGGTCGTATCACATGTGATATAGAAAGTCAGGTTCATATGAGAACAATGATCATTTACCCTTGTGTTGATCATGTTCCGTAATCAAATATGATTTCAGTGCATAATCACATGTGATCGCTCACTATGTTCTCATTTGATCTTCTATGTATGTATTAGGTGGAAGTTCAAATGAGAATGTTTTCATTTTACGAAAACACAAGAACACTCTTATCATGTAATAATTATACGTAAGCGGACCTGGTGTTGTGGGGTCAGACCCGTTCTCGACATTTATAGGCTCCGGACGAGATGTAAAAAAGGGCCCTTGATAGTTATGAAAAAAAAACAATAATATTACATTTTTTTATCATTAGAAATAACATTTAATTCAAGAAATACTAATCATTCATATAAAACTATAATACTGAATAATAATAATTATTTTTAAGTTACTAGTATCTACCATATCTCTTTTACATAACATCGTCAATCCGTTCCATAATAAAAAAAACATCATATCATATACCTTTAATATATAAATTGATATTATTTGGAGTCACAATCTTGGTTATTCAGAGTAATAGTACATGTAAATCAATATAAATCAGTTGATTTTTTTATCTCAGATCAAGGCTAATGTTTTTCATTACTGTTTCAAGCTTTTAGGGTTAAAACAATTTATTTCGAGACCATCAATTCTGGAATCAAAAACCCATGTTGGTTATTTGAGATCTTATTATTGTTCTAGAGATAGTAAAATGCTTAACACTCGTACATTCAATATTAGGTAACAAGAAGTCAATAATGAATGAAAAACCAAGAGTAATTTTGAAACCTTAAATATAGATATAAGTTGGACCGTCTCATATGGTTAACAATTATGTTTCCAAATGTATGAGTTTCTTAATTAATAACAAGAAATCAACTTTATTCTAATGTAAAAAATAGAATTCATACGAATAGAATAATTAAAAAAAATCAGTAAAAAATGAACGATGAAAAATATATCAAAAATTTTATAGACAAGTAGTTTTAAACTTTCTATTGCAAAAGCACTAAGCCTATAAAATAAACAAAAAATTAACTTTTTCATATATTTCTTTTCCAATGTAATTAATTATACATGTTCAGGATCGGCCCTGTGTGTGGTCGACTTAGCCTGCAAACGACAAGGTCGTGTGTATATACATATGTGTGTGTATATACATATGTGTGTGTATATACACATATGTGTGTGGGGGCGTACTTACATTTGATATAAGAAAAATTATAAATAAATAAAATAGATTAAATAAGATAAAAAAAAAAGGAAAGGAAAGGGAATTTGTCTGTATTATGCAAAGAATTTCGAAGGCATGAGTGATTGAGTAAACCCGTGAGTTGGGGTCACATGCTCCCTTTAAGTTTGTGGCTGTAAATTCCCCAACCTTATTTTTTTTTTAAATATATTATATATTTTTAATCAAACGATATTATATATATACATATATATGCATTTTTTAGATTATAATATTTATTAAAGATTAATATGGTATAAAGCAATGATCTTGAAATTTAAAGGTCTACTTGGTTTAATTTATATTAGAAAGGGAACTCGTATAATATAGTGAGATACATTTCGATTTTAATATTTTTTTTTGTCTCAGTCGATGTTATAATACGGTTTTATGTGTTTTTTAAGAAAACGATAATGTTTTTATTTTTAAATAAAATATAAATATGAATATATCATAAAAAATTGAAAAAAAAATATTGATATTAATACTAAACTAACTATTTAAAAATTCTTTCTTTTTTATATTTCTTAATTCATTTTTTATTTTTGGTTTAATAATATAATTTTTATAAAGAAAATAATTAAATATTTTGTTAGAACTCAATGATTATTCTAATTATATTTTAGATTTTTAATATTTAAAAAAAAGATGTCTATCATCTATTTAATTTGGTTATATTTATCTGTAGCTAGTTACATCAATTCAAACATGAAACTTAATAAATTGTACTTAAGCACAATTTACTTGTAATCTTGAATTTTAAGTAATAAGCATCAATAAACAGTACTTCATGCATAAAAAATGATTTTTAAGCATTTTTTTTTTGTCAAATGCTATATAATATAGTATAGATAGTTGAAAATGTCAAATTTTCATTTAATAAATATTATAATTGTCAATTTTTATGGATTCAAACTTGTAATTCTTGTAATTCATAAATAGTTATATTTGACATTTAAAATCAGTATAAGTAACAAAATGACTATATCGGCTGTCGATATATGATTGGATGTTGTTAGATCATGGAAAACAGTAATAACATGTTATCATTAAACTACGTGTCGCATTAAAAGACATACTTATTTTGAAACCGAAGGAACATTACGGTAGAATTGGTCTTATAGAACGTTGAATAGGATAATTAATTTAACTCTAAGTTCGTTAAGATTAAATATTATGTTTTATTTAAGGACGTTATAATATATTGTTGGGATAAATTACACGACCTAATAAAACCTATTGACAGATTAAGACAACTTAATAGAATGCATAAAGTAAAATTGTTCTATTAAGCTTTTTATAGTACGTTAGAAAACAGTGTTTTATTAGCCTTTTATATATTATAACATTAAAAAAATTAATACAATATTTTTATATATTTTGTGTTTTTTTATATTATCCACCTTTGTTAACAACTTTGTAGTTTATAAGCTATGAACAAAAATCTTATTATATACTCTATTATGGCGTCTATGCGTCAATAATGACACAATTTGTTAGATTGGTTTTAAAAAAAATGGAACATGTTAAAAGAATTGAAATCTGGAAGGAATTAGAATGAAATGTTATCAAATTTAATGAATTGGAATCTGTTTGTTTGGTTTGCAACAGAATTGGAATTGAATGATAAAAAAAAAAGACAAAAATACCTTTTCTTCCATATTTTTTTTATAAAAAAATTTAAATAAAAATTGAATTTAATGAGGAAAAAAATGTTTACCATTTATTGAATCATATATAAATATAAAATGTGAAAAAAAAAATCCAACCAACCAAAAATCAAACCATTCATACAAGTTGATACATCAAATACCCATATATAAATATTGTTACCAACAAGTGTTTACACATAAGTAGAAGTTGTCGAACCATAGTATCCAAACAATAGGTAACACAAAAATATTGTCCAAGCAATATCGACTGATCATTGGTCTAACATAACAAAAAAATGTTGTTTTTACCATCAATTGATCATTGGTCTAACGTAACCAAAAGATGTTGTTTTTAATCACCAACTGATCATTGGTCCAACATGAAACGGACCCAGTTTTCACGTCTTTCCTCCTTCAAGTTCCAGAAAGTGATCACAGATTCAGAGTCCTTAGTTATCTTTCGCAATGCACAAAACATTTCAGTTTCTAAAAACGTCCCGAACTTCTCAATCTCATCAGCAATCATGGAAGTTCTTTTTAGCATTTCAACTTCAACTTCCATCAACGATGCCGATGCTTTCATAAATTTGTTACCAAACATAAATGTTGCATTGTTGATTACTTCATGCAAAGAATCATTCATGTGTTTCCTTTTCTTGCTACTACTTGTTTACTCTTGATTTTGCACATTTGTGTGTGAATGAGAGGTATCATCTTGATTATCATAAAGGGTTGTCATGGAATTGATTGATATGGTCTTACATGTTTGATTCCTCCATCTCCATTGCATCTCTTGCTTTACTCCCATTAGCTCTATCTTTGCCAAACACAATGCACAAATCCTCAAAATGGAAAAATGTGTTGTTTTTCCATTTCTCGGCCTCTTCGTAAACCTATATTATATCATAAGTTGTAACATTTAATTATAAAGCAACCTATATCATAATTACACCAAACACAATGAATTTGTACTTGCAGATAGGCCTCCAGACTGGTGGTTCAGCAATCATACAATATTTTTCACTATCAAAACCAAATCCGCTAGTATTACTACCATGCACCATGTCATAAACAAATTGTCAATCTTTTTTGATTGTTTTTATCCTTGACTCAACATGGGGTTTACCTAATATACC